AACTCGAAAGCGATAACATTTTTAATATAAAAGGGAGATTTCAAATGATGTATCACAAGCCTATATTTCCCTTTTTGAAAAGTGGGGGTTGTACCTGTCATTCGACGGGGATGCAAGGTAGGGGTAGCATTTTTCCGTTGAGTATGTCAAATTATAACTTGAATTTGACGTGTTTCATTCGGTTTTTACACACTGTATAATAAAGTGTAGTTACATTTGACAAAGTTATCACTTGAAATTTACGAATTTCGTGGCCTATGTGGTGGCCTGTCAATAAGGTTAACCTTCAATTTGAATCATTTCAGCCAAAATAGATTTAGGGTCTGTTTCATTTTCTGCACGAACCAGAATATTTCAGTTTCTTCGATATGCAATTGATGTTACATGAAAACAGATTCATTCCTAATATTTCACATAGTGCATTATAATTTATTTAATGATCTTGTGTGTTCATGTGTCCATTATTTTTTGTTGACTAACGTTTTTCTATCTCGCTTTCATCAAATAACCATTAGAAATTTGTATTGCATTCAAGGAATACCTCTACACATTAAATTATTATATTTCATTTCACGGAGTGATTTCAATCTATCTAAGTGATTGAGTACGTTCTATAAATCACATAACAGAAACAAAACTGGTAATGATTTGATTCCTTATTTGCATATTGCAAACGAAAATAATGTTTTTCAGTATAATTGGGATATCAAAGAATTTCACAAGCTGAGCTATTTCCATACCAAAGCAACCTACACTCGTTTTATAAGTATTTCAGATACAACCAATTAATCTATTTTTTCATAACAACGGCAATTCATAAATTTTGCAATATGCCACTTAGCGGATATTGAAGTGGAACTGGAAATGGTGACAAGTTATTAACTATTTGACTCATTTCCATCACTCAGCTGATGGTGATACTATATGAATATCTTTCACATGCTAAAATGTATTACAATTTCACATTACTTTCAACTGATGAATCGATCAATTCGGGGGAAATTAACAAAAACATCACTATACAGTGTGCGTTTCTACATAGAAGACTGAGTTGTGGAAATTAGAGTGTACCAAAAAATAGCATTGATTGAAAACGGTTGTAGATCATAAACATGAAAGATGTAATCCGGATGTTTCAGCATGTTATTGTCTATTGTAACAGACTATCTGAGGTGAAAAGTTGAACAGGATGGTAATTTTCCATGGATTTCTGAGGAAAACGTTCATAACACAACACAACAAAGTTTTTGTTTCGGGGTTGAAATTAGATGATTTTAATGTATTTCCATGTGTTAAAACCGAAAGTGACCATAAAAATTATATATTAGCTCTTGTTTTCAAGATATAGTATCATTATATTATATATATGTATATTGAGTTTTCAACAAATGAAATATTTCATCACCAACAGTTGGTACACATGTTTGTTTACATAACACCCCTCTCATCAGCTGTTCTTAAGTAGTAAACATAACCTATGTGAGTTTGTCAATTGTACGCACGTGGTTGCTATTGAAATTATCGTGTGAAGTTGATTTTTAAATTAATTTAAGTGCTGATCTGAAATGCCTCGAAAGTGTGTGAATTCTGTCGATAGCTTTTGCTATATATGTGGTGAAATAACATTTAAGGCTCAGAAACGTAAAATGACACCNACAATATTGTTTTATGTACTTTCACTTTTCACGTATAGTATAACTACTCTTTAAGATTAAGTACTGTGTATCTCAAAAACCAGAGCTAATAAAAATTTTTCATTGTTATTTTCGTTTTTATCACCCCAAAATTAGTAGAAATTGACTAATTTAGTGTAGGAAACATTCAAAAAATATTTTTTTGTTGTGTTATGATAATTAGGAATATTCAGAATGTATCAAATCATTTATAAAATCATTATTATATATTCTGAAAAATCATGAAGCAGGCCTCTCAAATGTTTGAAAGTTTGAACCCCCCTAGTACTAAAAAGTTTAAAATATTCAAGAATGAGGGTCGATTAGAACTATACGTAAAAAGATAATGAGTATTACTTTTTTCATAAACTACACCTTTGGATTTGATCTGCACAAACTTTATTCGAGAAATATATCACGATATGTTTCGCTGAAACAAGATCTCCTTCAACAGTGATTTGAATACTACAAGTTGCTTCTTAAGCTAATATTGTAGTTACCACAGGTAACTACTTACACAGGGACTTCCTTCAGCAAATTACCTAAATCCCTACAACTTTTATATATCTGAGGTACCTCTTCAATTATGATCACCTGAAGCATATCACTTCACTACTACACCAGTAATAATACTTCCTATTTTTTTTAAACCAAGCTCAATAATGTTGATCTGTTCAAATCCAGTCAGTCATTCGTTAGAATATTTGAATTTTTATGCTTATTAATTTCCATTGCTTCCAAATGATTCAGTTTCAAACTTTCATTTTCTATGTGTAAAATTTCGAATTCTTCGTTAAAGATATGATTTTCTTCTGAAAGATGATTCGAATATGTTGAACTTGATTTTTCATTTACATAGCTAATATGATGTTCCTGGATTCGATTCCTAAATGTTCTGCCAGTTTGACCAACTTATATTTCAGGACACGTTTCACACTTGGTTGTAGTTTTAGAGGTTTAGGTGATTTGATAGAGGTAGTCTCAATTGTAGTTACCTGTGGCATATAAATACTGGCGTAAGCAGCAACTTATAGTATTCAAATCACTGTGTAAGCGAAATATGTGATATATTTCTCAAATAAAGTTTGTGGACATCAAATCCCAAGGTGTAGTTTATGAAATTTACTATGGATCTTCATCAAGTAACGGCCGAATCAATCAGAAAAAAAATTACCTTGTCGAAAGACAGTTTTCATTTGTAGTCACAAGTGGAAAATCAGTCTCATGCTCGAAAGAACACTATAAAATGCTGAAAGCTGAGTGATATTTCAAAAAAAAGTTGAAATAATAATTATTCTTTGGAGTGAATGCATTAAGTAATCCAACTTCCAAAAATAGCATCATATTTGATAGTGAAAGATCAAACTACACTAGATGAATATTCTTTACAAGACATTTTTGTGGAGGACTCAATACTTCTTACTGTTTTTTTGGGTGTGTATAACGTTTCAAAACCGAAAATTCTTTTGAAACTTTCGCCTCAAATCGTGAATAGCTTCAGTTCTCATGACACACATAACAAATAAACTTTTTCACAATATATATTATTCGCGTTGGTCATTCATTTATTTGATACAGAAGAAAGGATAGAAAGAAATCAATAACTTTTTCTTAATAAGAAAATATAAACATTCTAATAATTATAATTTGATAATCTTCATCTACGAGGTGTTTTACTGTCTTGTAGTTTCAAATATAAAAAATTGAACAATCAGATGGTCATAATGGAATCGACACGCATTGTTCAACTCCGACACGAGTATTTGAGGCGAATGAAAAGCTACCGAGAATCCAGCAGACGTATAATCTACCTCGACGAAATTTGATTTGACAACCATGATGTTGTCGAATATGGCTGGGTAGACTAAACCAAGTATTGTGCTTTGAACATACCTTCTTCAAGGGAAAAACGTGTTATAATTTTGCTTGCCAAGGATGAAAGTGGTTTCGTACCTAACGCTTTGCTTCTGACGGCCAAAAATATAAAAAATTCGTCTGCTGATTACCACGAAGATATGACTGTGGCTTTATTCGAAACCTGGTTCAGTGAGCAGCTTCTCCCAAATATTCCTCCAAACTCGGTAATTGTTATAGATAACGCTTCGTATCATTCTCGGTTATTGACTACAATACCGAACAATAACACAAAAAAAGCAGATATTGTTGATTCCATGCGAAATCATGACATGGAAATACCCGAAAAGATTCCAGCGAAAAAGTTATTACTGGCGACCATAAAACAACGTAATTTCAAAAAAGAGTATATTATTGATTCGATGTGTGAAACACGTGGTCATATTTTCTTACGTTTGCCTCCATACTATTGTGTATTCAATCCAATTGAAATGGTTTGGGCCACAATGAAAGAAAGCTTGCGGAAATGTAATCAGTCACCGAGTTTGAATGCTGTGGTGCTTGACAATATGAGGCGAGTAGTGAATGAAGTAGGTAATAGTGATGCCTGGAAGAACTGTGTGGCCCACGTTATGAAAGAAGAGAACAAATATTATGTGCAAAGTTCCATAAATCCGATGGTTATTTAACACGATGATGATTCTACCTCATCCGAATATAGCGAAGAAGAATTTTGATTTTTCTAGCACTTTTGTTGGCCTCTATTATTTTGTAAATATATGGTTGACGAGAATTAGGTGTGCTTATTTGTTTTCATTGTATTTAAGAGTTTTCGACTCGGAAATCAACTACTTCAAATTTCAAGTTTCAACTTCCTCAAGTTTTTCATAATTACCCATGGTGGAAAAATGCAGTTGAGATAACTTTATTATGGGGTGATCAATTGCTATGATTGTAAGAATAAGTAACTGAAAAACTACCACTGAAAAATAATATGCTGACGCCTATGTCGAGGCGGGAATTCCTTCTCTGTGCTGTTCCAATTGATATTGGAAATACTATAGCTATCCAGTCATATATATTTTCGGTTGACTCTCCAACGAAGAAATTATAAGGAATATCATCAACCATATAAATGAAAAGCTTGTTCAGAGTCAGTCATGAGTCATGAAAGTATTTGCTTGAAAGTTCGTCCATTATATTTTTGTGGAAAATCATCTGACAGAAAACATTCCAAACCATTTGCTGAATTCATTCAATGTTTCAAATACCAAGGAAGTTTCAAATTTTATGTAATTGCAGATATGTTTATCATGAATCGAATGCAACTTTATTGTTAGATAATAATAACATATTTACAGGAAGGATATAATTAATATATGATGGGCAATTCATCGACATCAGTGAGATTAGTAGTAACCACCTCCATGTCCATAAGAACCGTATCCTTGGTCATACCCATTTCCATACCCATGCCCGTAGCCTTGTCCGTAATACCCATTGCCGTATCCATTTCCATACACGCCATAAACTGGCTTGTGGTAAACAGGGGCGATGAGAACTTTTTCAACTACTGGAACTGGATGGACTGCATGTCCAGATTTCTCCACTACAGCATTGAAACCGTTATGGTCATCAGCGGCATAATGGACAGTACGGAGGGTTCCATCGGGATCAGCAACGGTATAGTATCCTTTGACAACATCGCCATCTCGTTCTTCAGCTTGTGACTTGTGGTCTCCAGTGTGGGGATCGCTCACTCCATAGGAAAATTGGTATTTGGGGTAGGACTGAAACAACATGATTTAATGAGTACTGTGATATTTACAACTGAATATGTCTTTTCTGAGAAAACAAATACTGTGGAATTATCCTCTCTCAACGTTCCTATATCTACAAATACTTGCTGAAACCAAGGCCGTAGCCAGAAAACAATTTCGGGGAGAGTTTGGTTTGGTGGAACAGTAGAAAAACATAAAATATAAAAATAACGAAAGGAAGAAAATGGTGTCACATGTTCATATATATTTATAAGAAAACCATTATAGAAATATTAACATCTTTTTACAAAATCAAATTCAGTTTTCTCGCTTTCTTGCCACCAAACAAATCAATTACCTCCTCGGTGTCGATATCAATTCTACGGTGGATTGACATCAACGCCAAACCGTTTAGTCGTTCCTGGCTTGTGGAGTTTCTTCAGAGAAGAGAAAGTCCTTTCAGGGGTAAATCTAGAAACAGGTAGTGTCGCCGAAATCTTTAAATGTAAGCACATTGCCGTAAGGTTTTTCCATTTTGTTTCAGGAAAGTTTTTTCAATATTCTCTTTCAAGCACTTCGTTCGTTTTTGCCAAGAACTTGATGAAATTTCTAAGGGATTTTATAATTACAATAGTATCTGTATCTGTAGACCAGGGAGAGTGAGTGTAGGCCCACAGTATTTAGTCCACATGTGATCCATTGTACATCCTTACGAGAAGTTGTCCTCCTAGGTCATAGTCCATCCTGTCTTTTCCAGGAAGGTGAACAGATCACTAGGAGACATCTCCTTTATATGGGCAGGTGCAGGCCAAGACTCACCAAACACACTCTCTTATTGACGATAACTCAGAACACTCGCATAGGACATTCCTGACAGGACAGGAAATTGTTGCAGATGATTTTGGTTCCTCTAGCTGCAGTACTCCACTGAATACCTACAGAACACTACATATGAATCCCTCCTTGATACAGTCATCAAATTCATTTGAAACATTCCTTGTAGTTCAGTAAATACTGATACCATAACCTGTTGCGTCTTCGAACGCTCTGCAGTCGGTTCACCACGTACAGTCCAATCAGATCGTTTTCATTCTGGCCATGTTTCATCCATTGTCACATAACGCAGCACAAATTTGTTTTTTTTATAGTGAAACAGCTTCAACAAAGCTCAAGCTGGTTAATGTTCATCAAGCCAAACCTTGACTTCAACAGTATTTTTTATTGCCAAAAAGACTGATGGTCTGACAGCTGTGAAATCTGTACTGTACAATAAGAAGAAGAAGATTGAGGTTAACTGAAAGTCACATGGATTCAATACTAGCAGCGCCATCTGTGTGTTCACCTAAGAACTTTTTAGAGCATCTAGCATAGCTATATAAATAATATTTGTTTCAACGAGAAAGAAAAGTGGTCATTACTCATGAGAATGAGGTAATCCATTCGAGCTCATCTCTCGCGAGTCAAAATTGAAGTTTTCTCCATGACTTATAACAAGAATATTCCATTATTAGATTCACTTTTGAAAGATATCCCGAATGAAAATAATATCACTGAATATCATTCTAGCAGAATCTTCCAGGATTAACTCAATCCAAGGCGTTTATTCACCCTTCGAAGCTGATACCAAACACTTGTTGGACTACAGTAGGGATGAACTACGCTGCCTAACAAGCCTTCTCACAGGTCACTGTCATTTGAATCATCATATGCAGAGACCTGAACTCTCGGAAGACAGTGTGTTTCGCCTCTGTTTCGAAAATGATGAAACAGCAGAGCACATACTTTCTGCCTGCCCCGCTGGGGACCGAATCAGGTTTTTAGAGTTCGGCAGAGCCGTACTCTTACCATTTGACCTGAAAGACCACCCATCATACAAACTAATCGGCTTCGTTAAGAAGCTGGGTTTATTTGATCGAGCGTGAATAGGTGTGAGCCACAATAAACCCTTGCGGGTTGCGGTGTAGGGTCGAATAGACAATAATTTTCAAATAGTTCGGAACTTGGGTGCTCAACGGAACTCTGGATGAAAGGCCCGTGTTCTTCCCCTATTCTGCATAATGAGGTATGACGTAAAAGACAGTGAATTGAGTTTCAATTTACTGTCTTTGTTTGCCCCATTGTGAAATTCTGATGATGTTTCCACTTGCCGATGTCATGTTTTTATTCTGATTTTTCGTTAGAAACTATGTTTCAAAACGAACTGTCACTTCAGTCACTGAGTTCGACCATTGAAAATAATTAAAACACAACTGCAAAGTTATGAATCTGATCATTTCTGATATAAGTTATGAATCATTTTGGCTACTAAATCAAAAGAGGAACGGACTGATAATTGAAGTTTCTCCAATGATCATAGAAAAATACTATCACAAAAACTAGGTTCGAAAATGTCATCTACATGTCCATAAATACTTCCAATATCTAATTTCTATAATAAGTTGTAGGTCGATATTGAAAATGAAGAGATGAGGATTTGAGCAATAATGTGAATTCAATAGCACGAGCACAATAACTTAAAGAAAGATGAAGTTGAAAGCTACAATTTCCTGGAATTTTTACAACACGTTAAAAATCTGAATATTCACCATCATTGAAAATACTTGAATATTTCTCAAATGTAAATACTCGTGTATGAATATGTAAATACTTACATAATGTCCTCCATCATATGCTCCTCCATATCCATAACCATTACCATTACCGTATCCGTCGCCATAACCGTAACCATATCCTGTTTCTGGATTTTCGTAAATAGGTGTAGCATAGCTGTTGACTATCTTATTGTAAGAAGTAGCTCCGTGGTTCGGGTATAGATTGATAAAACCTGCTGAGGCACAGGAAAGAACGGCAAACAGAAGTGTAATCTGGGAATATATTATGAAATTGATTCATCATCATTAAGTTGAAATGAAAAGGTAATAAAGCATACGAACCATATAAAATAGTCGCTACTACTACTATTTGAAAAATTCTTCACGGTGTATATAATATATCGAAATGTTGGAGATAACTTTTTATTTTATCCTGTGGCAGGAACTGTGTATATGGCCCCTCATTTCTTAATTTTGTTAATGAGATTGGCAGAAGAATAACCGAAAAAATTAAAGAAAAAAGTAGCAACTTTCTGATCTGAAAAATTAGTTTAGAGCGTGATTATTCAGCATCTATTTTTGACACTAACCAATTGTCACATTCACTGGATGAATTTTTTTCACCCTGCTATTTCCAAATCATACTCATACCCCAGTATTATTAAGAGATTGATTCCTCATGGAACCGCCCATATTTCTCGTGATGTTCCCCATAAGTTTCCATCAGAAGATACAGATAAAAATAAACAAATTCTGGAAACCAACGTCTTCGAGGTACAAGAAAAATGCACAAATTCCCTATCAATTCAGACGTATCTTCATTTTTTAGTAATTCATTTCAAAAGGTCCTCTCCAACAGAAAGATTTCAAGATTGAATATAGCCAATCACTTTTCTTCAGAAAGACAAGATAATGCAATAATGTAGCAGACAATGTGGCTCCTTGTCGTTATAATCTATATGCACTTTCGAATCACGCAGCTTACAGCGGTCATTACAACCCCTATCCTGGCACGTGGCATAAATACAAAGATTCACACACGTCTCCAACTTTACGAAAATCGCTTGTTACTGAATTGATTTGTATTTCATAGTTTTAAACAAGATATTATTTATATGAATAGTGAATATAATGTAAACTAGTTTAGTGATCCAATAATTTTATGAAAAAATGTTGGTTTGGGTAACAGGATCGATTTTTTCTTAAAAAAACAATTGTTTTATTGCCGACGTTTCGAATTTAATTTCTTCTTCAGGACTCGAAAAGTAGTTTCTTCGTGGTGATAATATTATTTTTTCAAAAATCATGAGACATATTAGATATATATTGAAAAATAATAAAAGAAACATTGCAACAACCAAATTACCGAGACAACACCAACACAATACGACATGAAACAAACACGAAGAAACTATTTTTCGAGCGCTGACGAATAATTTAATTGAATTCTAAACGTTGGCAAAAAACAATTGTTTTTTCAAGAAAAAAATTGATCCCGTTACCCAACCAACCGTTCTTCATTTGAATAATGATGATAATAATAATAATGAATCTTAATATTTCTGTTAAAAAGCATGAGTCTATGAATACATTGAAGCCGTAACTGACGAAAACGTCATAATGAATATACAAAAGAATTTAAATGATATGAACAGTCCTAAGTTATTAATAAAAAAGAAGTAAAATATATAATTATATAGAAATATAAAAAATTCATAGAACCTACCAACTTAATTGAAAAAGACACAGCAAGAACATATTAGAAGAACATATTAGATAAAGGTCAAAATTATTATAGTATGAATAACAAATGTTATTTGAAAACAACAGAAAACATCTTTATAAAATATAGAATTATGTCATAAACTCACTAATACTGCAACAGTTTTTCTCAGTAAGTAATGCTTTAAGTCTGGATTTAAAAATATTAATGTTTGGAGATGTTTGGATACAGACATCGAGGTGATTGAAAACTTTGCATCTCAAATATAAATTACTTTTTTGGTATAGGTTAGTTCTGTGCCAAGCAGACGCAAGAAGATTTCTGGATCTAGTGCCATATTGATGATCTGTTCTATTAAAAAAATTATCTTTATGTTTGTATACATATATACACCGTTCATACAGATACAAGCCTGCCACAGTTAAGATCTTTAGTCCCTCAAAAGCCTCTCTACATAACTGTTTCCAATTGAGTCCTGCAACAATTCTCACAGCAAATTTTTGCAGAGCGAAAACACGAGAGGAACATGTAATCCAGTTAAGAATACCATATCGCAGATGACAGTTGATGTTTGCATAATAAACGATTATTATATGTTTTCTTGACAATCATTTGATAAGAACTTCAACGCATAACAATTTTTTCTTAACTTTTCAGAAAGTATATCGACGTATGGTTCCCAGTACAATTTATAGTCGATTGTTAGTCCAAGCAACTCAGTCGTTTCACTAGCAGATACATTCATGTCATTGTCCTTGAAAATTTGAAACTGTTCCATAGTTCCCCTCAAAGTGAATTTCATCAAAGAGGTTTTAGATACATTTACCGTTAGACGATTTGAATCGGACCACTCCATTACTTTATTGTATACCATTTCTGATGTTACCACAAGTTCAATTGTATCTTCACCAGTTATAAGTAGATTTGTATTCTCATAATATATAGGAAAATATTTAGTTCAGTAACGACTGTAATACCATGAACCATTTATTTTATTTCATTTCAGATTCGCTATTCCGAACGAAACGGTCTACAATGAATACTTTCAAGAAGTAACAGTATCGATGGCCGTCTTTATAATTTTCATTTTTACTCACTTTGCAGTAGTACATCCTGTATTTCACACTATGGGCTACTTCTCAAGAAAACGACTGAATAATGATTTTGGTAAATACTTCCTAATATTTATATGGTCACCCTAGACCTTCAAATCGAACTTTTTTCTTAAAAAATCAATTGCTTTGTTGCCATAGGACGAAAGTTTTATATTAAGATAAAGTACATTATTGACCCAATAATCGAGCGTTAAGGTTATTACTGTGGTTTCTTTTTTGCTCCGTTAATTCGTTAGGTTTTCACGGCTAATAGCTTGTTCTAATGTGACAATTTACGTAATAATTATAATGAAATCGTGTCTCATGTTTTCAGGTATCCAAAAACGCAATAGATTGCGTTTTTGGATACCGCGTTATTGAAAAATAAGCCAATACAATTCCAGTTTCATTTTTTTGGGTTTTGTATAAGTCGTAACATCATATTTATTTCCAATGCGTCTTTTTTTTTCAGATAGACTTGAATTATAAGGTGAAACGTTGGTTCTGAAATGTGTTGGAGGCTGTTTCTGTTTGTGTGGTCACTTGATTTTTGATTGACTGTCGATTTTATTATCAGCTTTTTCCAAAATTTGTTTTCCAAATCAATTCCTGCTCTGATCGAACAATAGTTTTCATTATCAAAAAAGTTTCATTCGTACAAAACAATTTCAGTGAAGAAGAAACGTTTTCTCAATGCAGTATTTAGTTTAATAGCACCATTGTTGCAGAATTAGACTTGACACAACCCTAATTATAATTATATAGTTTTGATATAGCTACACTCCAGATACATTTTCTTCAAAGTTGTATCATAATAAATGTATGTTTTATACAAAATCCAAATAAGGCTATGATTTGGTCATATTTTACACAAAGTTTATTTGTTCTTGTCAATGTCTAAAATATCTCTATGGAATATATATTTTTAAAAAGCTACATTGTGTCTGAAAATAAGAAATTATAATTAGTACAAAGTAAACAGTATCTGAAAAAGTCTGTTTTCCGTTAATCAGCTGTTGCTCTCATACGAACGACAACTCTCAGAAGTTGAGAAACTTGTGCGAGCTAAGGACTAACGAGGTCTTACCTTTTAACGTGTGATTCCTCTCAATCATCGCAAAACGCCATCCTCTCATGGGTTTTTTCAATCCTGGAAACTCCTGATGCCTACGCTACGGTAATCGGAGACAACAGTGTGTAAAATTTCGTCATTTGATTGATCTTGTCGTGCTTTTTTGATCGGGGACAACAGTGTGTAAAATTTCGTCATTTCATTGATCTTGTCGTGCTTTTTTGATGTTGGCTCCCCTGGGCACTTCCATTGCGAGGATTAGACTTTGGTTTCGATGTCATAACCATATACCCATGATTAGTCATCAGTTATGACCATTTTAAGCAAATCTATATCGCCGTTGAAGTCATTCACTTAAATCTTAAGCGATGGTTATGCGACGGTTTTTTCTTGGTCGAAATTCAGCAATTATGGAATGAACTTCGATGCAACACGCTTCATTCCCAAAATTTCCCAAAAATTGTATGGCATGAGCCATACAAAATGCCAACCTGTGCAACAATCTACTGTAAGAAGGGTTATGGTAAAATTCGAATCCACTGAAAAATTCATTCTAAAAACCTCACAATACTACTTATAAAAAGAAGTGGAGGAGCCCACTTGAATGTGACTTCAGATGTCAAGGAACATTTGCACATAAGTATTAGATATTTCTTCACACATCAATACAATTCCAAAAATACATGGAGAAACAGAGCTGTTACGCTTGATATTTCTATAAGGCATTTGACCGTGTGTGGCATGAGGGTTTGCTGGCCAAACTTCGATGCTTGTCGAATACTCGAATATTTTCACCATCAACGCTGATGTTCCCCAGGGATCCATTGTCTTCAACTCATTGGAAAAAAAAGAATCCAATATATCACTTTACTGACGACAGCACACTTGTCTCATCATTTAATTTGGATTCCAGGACATCGGCTACGGAGGCACATCTTCACCAGCAGCAGGAGGTTGCATATCCTAATGGAGATCTAGGATTCAATGCCACAAAAACTCAGGCATCGGTTTTCTCCTAGAAGATAAATGCCTCCGAACCGGATATAATAATTCCGCTTTCTGATTCGATAAGTTTGATGGAAGTTAAAATAGACACCAATATGTCTTGGCACAATCATGTCGCTGGAATTGCAAAGGCTGCTTCTCAAAAGTTTGGAGCACTGTCCTGAACCAGAAAACTGTACACACCTCAGCAACTTTTGATGCTCTATAAAGCTCAGATCAGACCTTCTTTGGAGTATTGTTCTCATGTATGGAGCTCTGCCTCCAAGCATACCCCGAATTTGCTGGATTCCATCAAGAAAAGAGTCATCCGCCTGGTTCTGGAGGCGAAAATCACCTGCAACTTTGATATTCTGGAACATCGAAGAAAGGTTGGAGATTCGTCTCTCTTTTATAGATACTTTCACAGGGGGTGTTCAAGTGTTATGGCTTATTTGATCCACCATATTAGAAATACACGACGAACTGTGGCTACTCATCGTTTTGAGGTTCGAATGAATTTAATCTCCAGCGATTCAAATCCAATGTAAATCGCCACTTTCGCACAGACACCGCTGTGAGAGCGCCTTGAAGATTTTCCAATAGAGCTTTTTTTATCCTTGAAAAATTTTTGTAATATATTTCGACTAACTTAATCAGACTCTCTAGAGGTTTATACTACGCAGTAACTTTATGACGTTTCCTATTTTTCCTTTTATTGCACTTGGGCAAATTTTTTATCATAGTTGATAGAAAAGAGACCTTCTCACAGAAAAATGTTCTCGAAGAATAAATTCAAATGAAGTTCCAAACATTTTAAATTGATCCATCAAGTAGTTGGGAAATCGGCAACATTTCCCTCAACTGATCAGGAGAACTCTTCGAAGAGCACAAGTTACTACCTCCATGAAAATATTATAACAAACACCTCTTATGACAAAAATATATATATATTCAAAGAAAATAATAAAAAAACGTTAGTATATAAACAGCAATCAACAATTCATAAACACTTCTAATGATGGTAATGGTGAGGAGCGGCCACTAAAGTTTTGACGGCGGGAGCAGGATGGGCATGTCCCGACCTTTCTACGACAGCGTTGAATCCACTGTGTTTCTCAACAGTGTATTTCACGGTTCTGATGGTACCATCAGCGTCATGTAGAGAGTACTCTCCGTGAGTGATGTCACCATCTCTGGATTCTTTGTGGGAGTGGATGTCACCGGTTTGATGATCTTCAACTCCATAAGCAAACTCGTATTTTGCTGGTGCCTGTAAAAAATATAATTATATCATTTCTCAGTATGTCGAATGGGAAAAGTATAAAATGTTGCTTTTTTACAAAAATGTTTCGTCTCCCTATTTTAGATTTCACAGCTTTATTGAGAGACATTGAGTATGTGCTTTTGGAAAACAATCATAGATAATCTCAACAAAACAAACACATAGAAACCGATCATATTGAAACTGATAAGAAATTGTTTCCAAAAAATTGTTTCCGATTTGCTCGATGATCTATAACCTAGACCAAAGGCTCCCAATCTTTGACTTGCGGCTTCTTGAATAATCAGATTTTTTTCGCCGCGCACCAATACATCAAATTTTTCCCTAATTTTTTGACTTTCTTAAAAACTCTGGAAACTTCCGAATGCTAATTGGAAAAAAAAAACAATGAGAAACTCAAAAGTTTTGAATTTCTGTAATTTTGCTACGGCGGAGTATTGAAGATCTGGATCCCCAGGAAATTGAAAAAGCAACCACAAGTCGCATACAAAAAAACATTTTTTAAAGTGTTTCGAATGTGATGGACAACATTTTTAGCATTTATTGTGAAAATGTGATATTTTGTTTACAATTTTGTTATTTTCAATCATCCTATTCTATTATTGTCTGTACTTTCACATGTTTTAGCCCACAAAATCTTACTTTTTACCTAGAAATGACTGATTTTTGGTATAGTTGTTCCCTGGAAACTTTGAGCCATAGTTAAGGAAATTATTTTGTAACCTTACAAATTTTCTCTCGTTCAATGATGTTAATTCAGGATACATTTGGTTGAATTTTTTACACGTTCTGACAATGATTTGATCACTTTGTTCATGTGTATAATAAATAATTTCATAAGAACTCTGTTTGAATAATCGATATTTACGTTCATTTTGGAAGATGATTCGAAACATCGTCGATAACTCTTTGTAAATTACTTATAAAAGTAACCGAACTGCTATAAGCTTGATAATTCCACTGCTACCTAAATCCAAATTCTAAAAAAAAATAATGTTTCTAGAAGAAGCGACTTCATTGAGAAAACTTGACGATTTAGGTATAGGGACATGATATTTCATCTTGAAGCATTTCTCACCATCTTTCAATTTACCGAGTAATATACAGGGGGTTTCATTTGAAAAAATGAACTTTTGACTACTTTTATGCACAATGGAAATAATAGTAATTTTAGCACGCCCTGTATGATATGGAGTCGATTTCTTGGTGGTATTTGAATATTTCGAGTTTGTCCAAACTATCATCAAAATATCAACTTTTCATGAATTGAGAGTACTGATGTACTCAATTTCAATTAAGGCTATATTTTGGACCATATTTAGCACAATTTATTTTTTATCTCGAAAACAGATAGAGATAATTATAGGACATAATCAACAGAAAAGTAATAAAATACCAGAGCGATACAAAAAATGTATTAATATACGGGGTGTTCTGTTCAAAAAAATAAAGTTGCTAGGACTTATTGATGGAAGTGGCAACGCCGCAATGCTGAAAATATTTCAGATCGATAGAACAGGTAAGGAAATGTGAGAGGTGGAATTTTCAGAAAAATCATGATTTGCGTTTTCCAGAAACGTCTAACCTACCATCGACCGTGAGTCAAGCTGTATACTGTACATACATTACATACATACTGTACATTTGTATATCAAGATCATCAAGACGACAAGCACTGATTGATTGAATATCTATGTATTTCCCCAGAAAATAACTTGTTTATAGAAAAGAAAGTAACGAACCTACAACAAACTATTGATGAAAAAAAATGATTGAACAAATAGTCTCAAAAAACAGCACATCAGCAAAGAATATGAAGCTTCTATAACTCATGACATTGTTGATTGTATCTATGTATTCGATAATTCATTGTATGATTCCATTCCAGGTTAATAAATGGATTATGCACCTCTCGAACAGTAGTTTGAAATGCCTACTAGATTTCCCAGTCACTGAATGCTCTAGGTTTACTTTTCATAATTATAACTGTAAAATACTTAATCAAATTATAAACGAATTCGAACCATTTCGAATTTAATCTTTGCTTGTCTCACCCTCCGTGCAATCCATATTGAACTCGCGGCATCTTTGGCCACAAGTTCTGCCATATTTGCTATCCGACGTTTTATGTGTAGAAGAGGTCAGCCAAAGGAGATAATAACATTTAACGGGACCAATTTTGTCGGAGCAGAACGTAAACTCAAGGAATGGTTCCAAAGCTTAGACCAGAAAAATATTTCAGAAGTCGCATCTGAAAATATAATTTGGAAATTTCACCGTCCCGGAGCTCCACATATGGGTGGAATCTGGGAAAAGATGATAAGCTCTATTAAAATAGCTCTGAAGATCAGTTTGAAGTCCATCAATCCAAAAGAAGAGGTTTTGGTAACCTTGATGAGTGAAATTGAATATATTATCAATTCAAGGCCCTTGACACACATATCGGTCGATCCAAATGAGCCAGAAGTTATCACTCCGATCCATTTTCTGCTACTGCGACCAGGTGATGTCAGATTATTCGGCAATGTGGAGCTTTCTAGCAGAAAGCAATGGAGAATTGCACAAGCATTGGCAGATACGTACTGAAAACGATGGGTAATTGAATATAGACAACACTTCTTCAGAGACATAAATGACATGACAAAATGAATCCTATTAGAATTGACGACATAGTTTTGATTGTGGACGAGAAGGCCTAGGACAGTGGATTATAGGAAAAATAGAAGAAACGTTTCCCGGTAAAGACGGAGTCATTAGAGTTGTTCGAATTGGGAATAAACATGGAACATATATGAGATCTGTCACTAAAGTGTGTATTCTTCCAGTCAGGAGTTGATATACTCACCTTCAAAGTCTGCTTGGGGGTGGAGAATGGTACTTATTTTATTTGAATTTTCTTATATCAGTTAATTGTTCATCACTATGTATAAGTTGTTTGATAAATATAATAGGTTGTTAGAATTAGACAGATGAAAAAAAATATTATAACTGTCAAGCCAAGTCAATATTAAATTCGATATGGTTTGAATTCATTTTTAACTCGCCTAATTATTTTACAATAAGTATTTCATTCAACATTGTTTTCGGAGTTTTCACTATCTCTTCTGTATCAGTTCCCTCAACCGAAATCAGCTTTTGAAATTCAAGGTTTAAAAGTAAGAATTGAATGAGTTTCATTTTTTTTTCAGAATCCCCAACTACACAAAATGCTGATGATGTAAATCCAGAAGTTAATATTCTCTATTTAAAATGAATAGATGAGTAACTCACCAAATACATACCCACGACGTTCAAACTGTAAAAGAATATGTTGTGCACATATCAAAACAAAACTTACGTATTCTTCCTCATGGTGAACCGACTTTACAAAAGCTGGAACGAAAGCTTGGTGATGTACAGCTGGAGCTACATGGGCATGAGCTACTGGAGCGACGACTTTGGCTACTGGAGCTACATATTTCGTCACTGGTGCAAATTGGTGAACTGATGGTACGTGGTGAGCGGAAACAGTTTTGACAACAACTGGAGCAGCGATTTTAGTTACTGGTGCAGAGTAGTGAGCAACTGGGACGGCATGGTGAGCTACGGGAGCGGAGTAGTGAGAAACAATTGAGGGTGCTGGCGCAGTGTGGGTATATTTGACGACTGCTGGAGAAGCTACTTTCACAGCTGGAACAGCGTAATGGGCAACAGGGGCTCCGTATTGTGGAGCAGGAGCAGAATATCCGTGGGATGGAGCAAAGTGGTGAGATGGTTCAGAGTGAATGTGATGGACGGTGTTGTGGTTGTTGTTGAAGGAAACAGTTGAGATGGCTGCATGGTTGTCGTGATGGGCAGCTTGGGCAAAGACTGCCAGGAAAGCGACTGCAAGTACCTGAAAGACAGTAGTAGTTTAGCGTTTCGATTCACAAATATGGTTTTGTAATACCTAGCAATGTCAGTATTCCAAAATATAGAATCATTTGCATGAATTCCACAAATTTCACCAGCGACGTTCGAAAAAAAAATTATCGCTTCAAGAAAAAAATAAACAAAAAATACAACGATTTCAGTCATGAAGGAAATAACAGTTGAAAATTTATCGGCTAACTAGCGAGAAGGAGAAAATGTTTATGTAAGAACACTTGTGGGTCATATATTATTATTTCAAATACGGGACCGCTGGACGGAAATCTTGGATAAGATAAACAGCCTAGGTCATAAAGACCTAGGCTGTTTATGGCGACAGTAATCTAAACAAAAGGCTTTCGAAGTTTTGCTGAGTGAACAATTTCGTGGAAAGTCGGAATTCTGAGACTTGAAACCGAGCTTAGCGTCCATTCAAAAAAGGCGGGGTTATGGGTTAAGTTGAAGTTGACCCCGAGAGAAAGAGAGCCTCCCGGAATTGGTCGAGGGAGGTGACGAAGATTTTGGAACAGGGAAACGGATCTTGAAAAAAGGCAGGGCGAGCGTCTTATTTGAGCGATAATAAGTAATGTTTTAAAGATTGGAGAAATAGCGCGATTTATAGGGGTTTATTAGGGAAATAAAAAAGTGTCAATCTGAGCGTATGAGCGTATATCTGGCGGATTTATAGTGAAATTTCGGAATAATAATTTTGTCTACCGTGGCCGGTAAAGCGAGTGAATTCTCTCCGTGAAGTGAGGTTTTTCCACGACATTGAATAACGGATTACTACGTCCACTCGAGATCGAAACCTGTGGATTAGCCGAGGAAAAATTTGGAAAATAGTCGTTGGCCCAAATCATCTATGAGATGATTTGTTCTGAAACTCTGTTGATGTTTTTCAAGGGACGTTCTTTGTATTTCCTAGGAATGATGTTATACAACCTAGCCGTATTCTAGGAGAAGCTATGAGTATATACTGCTGGGAAATAACTGAGAATGAGTAGAATATACTAATTACGCTGAGAACAACTATGAGATAGCGAAATCAGATTTTCACGTATATAAGAGGATACCTGATATAAGAATTTTGTGTGTGAAATTATGTGAGTTGAATTCTCTTAGATGCTTCAATAGAAGCTAGTCAGATTCTTGAATGATACGATCGTACTAACGGATGCCATAGGAGAACTTGATATAACTATTTTGTATACGTTGGAGTCGCATAGTATCTACTTATTTTGAAGCAGGACTCTTGATATGATCGCAATATGCTAGTCTTGATAGTATATGGAATCCACACAGATTTTAACTCAATATTTTTTGATAATAGCAGAACCGTTAGGGTGAAGTTATCTTGAAATATCGTATAAAGACCCACATAAATGTGGGTGATTGGTGAACCTCAGGTATGAATCAAGCTAAAAGCTAAATTTTTGGATTCTTTTACGGCAGGAATCATATTGTTATTGATATGGATCTGTAAGAATTTATACACCTCATTCATTTCGTGAAAATCTCATGATTCTGACTTAGATACATTAAACATCCCTGCCTTCTCTAAAATCGATATTGTTACTGCTTCAAAAAAATTAAAAAATGAACTTGACAATGTTCCTAGTCTTGTGATAAAGGACTGTATCGACGTTCTCTCTGTACCTCTAATAGGCATATTCAACTTAATTTCAACGACTTGTGCCTTTGCTAAGCAGTGGAAAACGGCTCGAATTTGCCCGTTATTGAAAAAAGGCGACTCTAGCGATATCACAAACTACAGAACAATTTCAATTTTATGTAACTTTCCTAAACTCTTCGAGATATGTGTGGAAAATATTATGTACTCCCTTATTCAAAAAGTTATTTCTCCTACTCAGCATGGTTTCGTACAACAAATATCTTCTATGACAAATCTTGCATGTTTGAATCAATATTTCTGTACGTACCTGGACAAGCAAAAACAAGTCGATGTTGTTCATTTAGACTTTCAAAAAGCCTTCGATCAAATAGAACATTATGTTCTTCTTAGCAGATTGACAAAATTGGGATTCTCTAAGCAACTGCTTCCTCTAATTGAATCATATCTAGTTAACAGAAAACAATTCGTCGAATATGAATCTTTCAAATCAGCTCAAAACGTAGTTACATCTGAGGTACCACAAGGTTCTAGTCATGGACCTCTTTCATTTCTAATTTTTCAATAAGGATTTGGCAACCTCTTTGAATATCCCTAGCCTGATATTTGCAGACCACCTGAAACTACATTATAAAATCCACGACATTACTGGCTGCCAACGTGTACAACATAAATTAGATGTAATCAAACTTTGGTGTAACGATAATAGTCTACAATTCAACATATTCAAATGTAAAATAATATCATTCACAACAGAAAAGCGAACTTTAATGTACGATTATTCAATCAACAATACTACAATCAACCGCATACACGAGTTAATAGTTCTTGGTATAACATACCTCAGTAAATTAACATTCACAGCACATATAAGGAATATGACTGCCGATTCAAATAGGATGCTTTGATTCATTTACAGAAATGCTAAAAATTTCAAAAGTATTGCCACCTTAAAATTGTTGTATTTTGCTTATGCCAGATTTGAGTTAAAGTATGACTCTGTGTTATGGAATCCAGTTTACGACTACCAAAAAACATCAATTGAGAGCGTGCAGAGGAAGTTCCTAAAATACTTATGTCTGAAAGTTTGGAAAATAGGAGAGTTTTCAATGGTATAAAATTCCTGCATAAATTACTCAACAACAATATTGACAGTACGGTTCTTTTACCCGAGATCATTTTTGAGTACCAAGAAGTGAAGGTCGACACATTCTGAAATTCTATTGCGAAGCATCACGCACAAATGTTATGCTACGATTACCATTGAATTTTATGTGCAGTAGCTTCAATAAAATCTGTGAATACTGCGATATTCATTTCGATTCTCTGAATGCCTTAGTATCATGCATCCACAATCACTTTTGATAATACTATAAATAATATTTGTATCAGTACTGCTGTGTTATTTTTTTTATATACCTTGTTTTAGCATCTAATTTAATACATTTCTATATTCTATTAGTTTTGATATTCACTTCATATATACCCTGTAACAATAGCATTTTCTGTAACTGGGTACTGGAAATAAATCGCTTATTTCACTTTTGAAACCAAATAACATCCTCTTTCTCTTGAAGATGATCACTTGGTGATCGAAACACATGTCAAGGTGTTGAAATGATAGCTTGGTATTGGGGAAAAACTACAGTAATATTCACCACTACACTAAAAGTTCCAAACAGAACATCCCAACTATGAAATCAGATGATTATATTCTAATGGAAAATTCATGGTGAGAATCGTAAGCAAAATGTTCCAGATTGTGATGCAAATAGTCAGAAAATTTGATGTTCTTTATAGAATCTTTTGACATGACTGATAATTATTTCTATGCACCGAAATAACGAATTTATATAAATAAATATCAAGTGGGAATAATCTCACCTTACTAATCATTGTTTAATAACAAATTATAACACTGTTGAACAGTAGACTGATTGAAAAAAATGACCATACACATTTTTATACTAACCCACCAACACATTCATCTAATGATGGCGACTATGAAAAACAGCCCGTAGGCAAATATGTTTGGGTCCACGGGCTTTATGTAATTTCATATCAAAAATCGACCCGAATTCTATTGATTTTCGTTACATATTTTGATTGATTCAGGGCACACTTGTGAGGTAATACTTCAGGTATGCACTTGATTTCGAATATTCAGACGAATGTAAGGCTGTTCTAGATACATAAAATAAAGTTGTTTGTTTATTTGAACAGTTCACTTATGTAATTACTTGCTAACGGAAATGATTTGACACTGAAAAGAATAATCATTATTCGAAATTACATGGTACCGTTCAAACTTAAATGACATTTATTGAATAATGTTTTGATAATTGTGTCCTTCGCCATATTATTTAGGAAACAAGTATTATGAATTCATTCCATTCTGATTACTTAATCATTCCTGATTCAAAAATGAGTGATTTTACCTTTGAGCAACATTTCCATATGAAAGATTCAGTTTCCAATAATAGAACCCCTATCAGGCTAGCATGGCGAATCCAGCAAAATTGCAAAAAAATACATCAATTTTTAGCTAAATAGCTGCTAATTAGTTGCCAAATAGTTGCCAAATAATGCTATCGTGATATAAAGGTAGCAAAGTAACTCAATAAATCATAAACTTTTCGTTTGTCTTCACAGAGGATTTATTTACTATTTAGTTGCTAAACCTTGGATATAGCGAAAAATTTTTAAATAATTTTTTTTTTATTTTTTCTGATCTTTTTATCTTGAAACTGTTTTTTTCTGTAATTGAAGATGTTCTAAATATGTGGCTTACCAGGAGAATAATTGAATACACCTGGAGAATCAGCAACAAAATAGTTGAAACCGAACGGCTGATTTTTAAAATATTCGATATATTAGGCGTGACCAGGGATTGGCCCTGGTTTTTTTCCTGATGGAAGTTACGCTAGTCAGTTCGTCGTCTTTTTAGTTATTTTCGGCTATTCAAAAATAGTTAACTGTATTAGTCGTAGTATTTGTAATGTACTCGTGTCTCTTGACTTATTAGTGAATTAGGGGCAAAGATTATAATCATTTTTTCATTTTCAATAACAAGCGTAGGTAAATTGACAAGTGCTGATTAAACCTGCAATTCAATATTTTGAATTTTGATATTACTTTGCTACCAGATTGTTATCGTTCAATATAGGATATTATTTTATTTTCGATTTTTAAATGACAGCCAACAGTCTAAAATAAAAAAAAAAATAAAATCGGCCGATCGGTAAATCGATAAAATAATTTTTTGCTGCAACCTGGTTTATTTTGGGCAAAAAACCAAGAGAAATTTTTTGTTGCTATTGGAAATGAATTTTCAAATGGTAAACAAATGATAATAGAAAAAGTAACATTGGAAATTAATTTCAGGGGTTGCGTTTTCCACCCCTTACAACCATGGGGTTGAACCAAATACATTTCTGGCTAAGTGTCTTTTTGGTAGTACAAAACGTCAGGTAAATTTCAAAATTGTTACTTTTTTAGTGCTTGTGAAAAAAAATGATATACAAATTTCATGTACCCCTTTTAAGGGGCTGTATGTTAACAAGGAATGCTCCCCTGAAATTTCTTTATATGAAAGATCCTATCTTTTTTTCGATGAGGAATCACCTCCTTGAATGTTTTACACTTATTCAGTTACATGCTGTTTATTGGAATCTTGGTTTTTCCAATAAGTCCTCGATATACATTAAAAAGAAAGTTCGAGACAATATGGATCCCCGGGGAACACCATCGTTGATGGTAGAAGTATTCGAGAGATATATATAGACGGCCACTTGCAGGGAACCTTTATTCAGGAAGCTGATGAACCATACACAAAAATGATCTGTCTAGCCATAACATCGAAGTTTGGTTAGCAAACCCTCATGCCACACACGGTCAAAGGCCTTAGAAATATCAAGCGCAACAGCTCTTGATTCTCTATGTTTCTCGATTGCGTTATTCCAAATTTGGGTGTCATAGGATAGAAGGTCGCCTGTTGATCTTTGTTTCCGAATGGCATATTGATTATCGCTCAAGATTTTGAAGCCTTCCAAATATTTGAGGATATGGTGGTTCACGACATTCTCCATGTTTTTTGATATCACTGATAGCAAAGCGACTGGTCTATAGCTATTTGAGAGTTTTTCTTGCCCTTTTTGGGAAAAGGCCTTTCTTCTAAGACAGGTTGAAAAGTCTGCAAAATACTGATGGGAGTTTATTTGCGCACTTTTCAAGTGCCTTTCCTGGAAAATCGATTGTGGAGTATGACGTAAGTTGTTCAGCTAGTATATTTGCTTTTCCAATAGTTGTTGTTGCAATTGAACTATCCGCTTGTGTTAGTGGTGGAATTGTGGATCTTGTAAAGTTCTGATTACCAGCTTGAGGTACCGACCAGAAGGATCCAGTCCCATTGGCATTGGGAAGCAGTTTATTCCTAATTCTCTGATTGTGGAGTTCGTTGCTTTCATTTTTCCTAAGTTTGAAGCTGTTGCGAGCATTAACAAACCTAGTTCGGTTTTCAGCACTATCCTTGAGACTTGAAGAGATATATGTTTGCCATATTGAATAATGAATCCAGTGTATTCTCCCGCCTTCGATATGGTTGACGTATTCTACAAATTGAAGTTGTTCATCAGATTCTTCATAGAAAAAACACATGATGAACTATGGTCATCAATTGAGTGAGAAGTATCAAAATTATTCATTACATGAAAATTTATAGAGTAACATTTTTCAATATTCAATTGTGAATCATTTTCGGAACACCATATAGTGAATTTCTCTAGGTTGAGCTACATTAATGTGGAATCATGACGTGATCTAATCAGTTTGGAAAGTTTGAGATCATCTGCGAGCATCAAAAAATCAGTATGATTGAAACATTCTCCGATATCAATGAGGAAGATATCAAATAAAATCACACCTTCAACTTCAACTTGTTGGGTTCATTTACTCAAGAAATTACTGAACTCTGTTACAGCTTAGTTGAAGAAACCAAATAACCTCAATTTTTTTAATAAGATATCTTAATCTATCCAATTAGAAGCTTTGGAGAAACCATTATAATTGAATAGAATTGGCCGATACTTGATGGAAATCCATATTAAAGAAATGAGTTTATTGTATGATTTTCACTATGAAGGGTTTTACAAAAACCGGGACACGTTTTTCATACAATAAACCCTATTAATTCGTTTTTTTAACCAGTATACATTGCATCCATTTGCCCTCTACTTTCCAGGACATCCAATAATTTATGTTCATGAATCATCAAGTTAACAACATAGGCTGAAAATTCCTAAGCCTACAAAAACAAAACGTGAAGCCATAACCTTTTCAGCTGGTTGTTGTACTTTCGGTACTTTGGACGAGGTTTACCAGTTGCTCTCCAGTCAGATGACGAGTGTTTTGATTCTGGAGTTGAGTGATGGATCCATTCAACCATTGTCACATATCGACGAAAAAATTCTGGTTTGTTATGGTTAACCATGGCCAAACACTGCTCAGAACCATCAAGACGTTTTTGTTTTTGGTCAACAGTGAGCTCGCACGGCACTTATTTTGAACAGAGCTTCCTCATAGTCAATTGTTCATGCAATCTGAAGCCAACACGTTTTTATGATACCTTTATAATGTCAGATAACTTATACAACTTCAGTTTTCGATCATTGAAAACGATTTTGTGTTTTTTTGTGTTTTCTGATGTTTAATACAGAATCAATTACGTGTAATTTATACTAAGTTCATTATTTGTTTCGACCATTTGGAAATGGTCTAATAAACCAAAACATGTAGTAACAAATAATAAAATTAGTCTGAATTAGACGAGAGGGATTTTCTTCAAAATAAATAGGTCATCAATCGAACAAGTTTTCTGGTGTTACTGCCTCATTTGAAATATAATTCAAGTAAAACAATTTTCCATTGATAGCGGATCTCTGTGAATTTGAAATAATTTGACTGGTCACTCTTTGAATTCAAATAGGAGGAATATAGTAAATAAATACGGAAGTTTTCTGTACTACAAAGATGCATCTATGGCATCTGGTTGGCCTTTCGTGTATATGTACAATTCGCTAAGTACCCCAAAGGAAGCAAGCTCATATATGCTGTTAAAGTAACCTATACAAGTTACTCGCTCTCTTGCACAGTTACGCATGGCAAACCATTTCAAAATTAAGTTCACATTGAATGGAATTGTATCTTAGATCGATCCAGGTGTAATATGCACTGTTTGCAATAGTAATATCAACTTCGAATGCCCGATTTACACAGTTATGAAACAAAACAAACAATGCCTTCAGAATTTGGATGAACTTATCCATGCTTTAGAGAATATATCTATTTCGGTAGCCAAAGAAACCTCAGAATATATCTGGAACATTCTCGCGTTACGATCATTTATGAGTATATGATGGTTAGTTTATTATACTTTTAAGATTTTACAATCCACTGTTAGCAGATTGTTACTTGATTAATGTATCTCACACATACATACTTCTTGCTGGACGGCCTGACAGCAGAAGTGGTCAGAGCAGCAGCGCAAAAGTACCCTGATGAAGTGCTGGAGACTATGAACGCAGTACTGATTGAGGGTAACTTTCCAAAGGAATGGAAAACCGCGAGGCTGGTACTAATCGAGAAATGAAGTGAAGCAGGAAGCACAAACAAGGCGTTCCGACCCATATGTGTGTTGAATATCCTGGGAAAGCTGCTAGAAAAAATGCTACTGGGAAGACTGAAGATAGAAATAAAGAGAACGGGCGGGCTATCAGATGAACAGTTTCGCTTCCGAGAGGGACGATCTACAAGGGACGCACTGAAGAGGGTAACGGAAACAGCGGAGAAAGCCAGAGACGGTCTATACAATTAGAGGAAGCTGTGCACTCTTATAACCATCGATGTGCAGAATGCATTCAACACAGCACCGTGGAACGGAATACTGGAGGAGCTGCACAGGAGAAAGATCACTCCGTACCTCCTTAAAATGTTAATCAGCTACTTCGAAGAGAGATGACTAATGATAGGAGTGGAAACAAAAATGAAAGTAACCTGTGGAGTTCCTCAGGGATCCGTATTAGGACCTACTCTATGGAACCTCTACTATGACATCATCTTCAGTATCCAAACCCCGGATGGAGTCAGGCTAGTAGGCTTTGCCGATGATGGGGGAATTGTAGTTACAGCCAAAACGAAGGGAAACCTGCAAATGATAGCAAATCAGACTCTACAAAATATTGCAGAATGGCTCCATCATAAGCGATTGAGACTAGCCCCACAGAAAACAGAAGCAGTTCTCTTAGTAGCAGGAAGAAAAATCAAGACCATCAGCCTAGAAATTGAGGATACCGTGGTGGAGAGCCAGGAAAAGGTGAGATATCTAGGTATGCTGTTGGATAAAAACATTACAATGGGGGCTCAGCGGAAAAAGAACAGCGGAAAAAGCTAACAAAGCCCTAGCGGCGATAGGAAGGCTGATGCCCAAAGTTAGAGGTGCGAGAGAGGCTACAAAAGAAATCCTGTGCTCAGTGGTGCATTCAATTATGCTCTATGCAGCACCAATCTGGCACGAAGCTCTACAGAGAGGGGTCAACCGAAAAGTCTTGCTAAGCACTCAACGCCGGACGGCTATCTATATAACTGGAGCATACAGAACGGCATCCACTAGGGTACTTTTAGTAGTAGCACGGATTCCCCCCATCCACATATGGGCTAGACAAAGAATGGAAGAGAGGTCAACTGAGAAGACCAACGCTAACACGACTATGCTCGAAAGATGGCAGGAATGATGGCAAGGAGAAGCAGACACAGGACTGTGGACGCGCAGTCTTATCCCGGATATAGTTCCCTGGTTTTCGAGGAAGCATGGTGATACCACGTACCACCTGACACAGCTACTAACAGGGCACAGGTGCTTCCAGACTCACCGCAAACGCTTCCGTGTAAGCAATAGCGACTCATGCATATACTGCGAGGAAGGTGACACCGTCGAACATACATTCTTCACCTGTATGAGATGGCATCAAAAAAGACAAGAAATGGAAACGGTCACAGGTCAACTAACTCCAGACAACATAATAAACAAGATGCTGGAGGATGCACAAATTTGGACTAAGATAAGCTCCCTGGCCAAATACGTAATTGACACGAAGGAGAGAGACATCAGGGTGAGATAAAATAGACAGCGATGAGGAAGAAAACTAAGAACAATAAGCATCCCCTATCTGAAGTAATGCCCCAAAGCAGTTCCAGAAAGAGCCACTTGATTGGTGAAGAGGGGATTCAGAGGGTAGGCTGTGACAAAGTCATGGAGTCCCACACTTAGAGCAGGAGCGTTCCCCTCAGGAAAAAAACATACTTCTTGCTGTAAACCCATCTTTAGAAGTAATAAAATTATTATTATTACTTCCTCATTTGGACGTCCACTGCGTACTGCATCATCGGTGTTTTTACTACCACATTTGAAGTCGGTAAACCAACTTTCAATTACTGTTTCTGATGGAGCGGAATCCTGATAACACTTTTCAAGCCATTGCTTCGCTTGAACTGTATTTTCTCCATCAAGAAACAGTCTAAAATTAAAACAGGAAATGGTTTTGGATTCATTTTTTCGAAAATAACAAAAGTAGTGTCATTCTCAGCACAGTAACTCACACACCTATGAGAAACCTATTATGAAATATCAACAGCTTTCTTTTGAAGGTTAGAACTAACTGAGAAAGCGGTGAATGGATTAAGACTAGCGCTATTTATTAGGTTCGGGACTTTTGAGCCCATTTGAGTATAGTATTTCCAATACCAATTGGAACAGCACAGAGAAGGAATTCTCGCCTCGACATAGGCGTCGGCATATTATTTTTCAGTGGTAGTTTTTCAGTTACTCATTCATACAATCATAGCAATTGATCAGCCCATGAAAAAGTTATTTCAACTGAATTTTTCCACCATGGGTGGTTATGAAAAACTTCTAAATTTAAGGTAGTTCATTTTCGAGTCGAAAACTCTAAAATACAATGAAAACACAGATAATCACACCGAATTCTTGTCAAACATATATTTACAAAATGGTAGAAGCCAACAAAATTGCTAGAAAAATAAAAATTCTTCTTCGCTATATTCGGATGAGGTGGAATCATCATCGGGTTGAGTAATGATCGGGTTTATGGAACTTTACACAGAATATTTGTTCTCTTTTTTTATAACGTGGGCCACACAGTTCTTCCACACATCACAAATACCTACTTCATTCACCACTCACCTTATATTGTCAAGCACTACAGCATTCAAAGTCGGTGACTGATTACATTTCCGCAACCTTTCTTTCATTGTGGCCCAAACCATTTCAATTGGATTGAACACACAATATTACAGAGGCAAACATAATAGAATATGTCCACGTGTTTCACTTATCGAATCAATAATATACTCTACTTTGAAATTACGTTGTTTTATGGTCACCAGTAATGCCTTTTTCATTGGAATCTTTTCGGGTATTTCCCGTCATGATTTCGCATGAAATCAACAAAACCTGTTTTTTTTGTGTTACTGTTTGGTACCTATTGCATTCAATAACCGAGAATGATACGAAGCGTTATCTATAACAATAACCGTTTCCCCTCAAAGAAGGTGTGTTCAAAGCACAATACTTGGTTTCGTCTACCCAGCCATATTTGACATCATGGGTGTCAAACCAAGTTTCGTCGAGATAGATTATATGTCTGCTGGATTCTCAGTAGCTTTTCAACCGCCTCAAATATCCTTGTCGGAGTTGAACAATGCGTGTTGATTCCATTATGACCATCCGATTGTTCAATTTTTAGTATTTGAAACCACAAGACAATAAGACACCTCGTAGAGTTTCTAAAGATTTGTAATTGTAATCGGGATAGTCGAGTAATTTATACCAAATCATTTCCAAGATTGGTACTTCATTTTTTTGGTATATAATAATAATAATGATAATAACGTTTATTGTGCAAAAACTAGTTTCATACACAAGCATACAGTGAGACTATAAGTAACAGTTACGATAGACACAAAAATAATATGAAAAAAACTATTATGGAGATTATATAAAAGATTACAATCATTTTTGAACATCTAAAAAATGAATTTCCAAAGTTTTTTTGAATTGATATATAGACAAATGAATATACGGTAATAAAATATTTAGATACTTCGGTCCAAAGTAAGAAAAACATCCCTCAAATTTGGTGGTAACATGATATGGAATGATAAATGTATCTTTTCTTGAATTGATAGAATGATTATCAGATCGCTTACTAATTAATGTGAACAAGTCATTAGGAGTTTTGCTTTCCAATAGTTTATATAAGAATACAGATATGAGATAACGAATTCTAAACTCAATATTCAGCTGGTCTATTGGGAAAGAAAGTTTTTGGCTTTCTACTACCCCATCTTAATCTTGATACAAAAAAAGGATGAGGGAGTCTTCCAAAGAAAACAAGGAAGTAACTCTATACATGGATGTGTAGATCATGCAAAGAAGTAACTTTCAGCTGATCTAATTTCAATAAATATGGAGTTACATGATCACGGTAGTTTATGCAGCACACAAATCTCATACAAGCATTTTGTATGCGTTGAAGTTTGTGTTTATTATAGTCTGGCAAGAAGTTTCAATACACTGAGCAGCAATACTCATAAATTGTTCGCCAAATCACCATGAACGTTTGCGAATTTTTTATTCCTTTGTTTTCGTTTCATTGCATGGTCAATGGCATCCCCTATTCTGATGACTCGAAGAACTGTCGAACGAGTTAGTTCGTTAACTCGCATATTCTTTCACAATTGCATTCTGTGAAATGTGACAGTTTTCCTTCTTCCAGCATTCATGAATATTTAAAATTACTTGCTGAACTTGAACATGTGAATCCTCATTTTCAAATTCCGGATCCCTGTCGATTGACACAGATTCCTCACACGTAATGTTATCAATTGTTTCAAAAGGTCTCCAGAAAGCCATATTGATGAAAGTAACCAAAAACACTAAGATTTTCACAAAAATCGGTTTAAACGATGAGATTGGAACCTTTGGTGTAAAAGTTGAAAACTTTTCCTAGAGATGAATTACCCTAACACCAAACTGATATTTTTGCACTCGACGCGCATTTCGCTAAAAAGGTTAGCATCTTCAGGAAAAGAAAATTGATTCTGAATCTAAAGGCAAGGGTTAGCTGTTCATATACCTAAAGTTTTTTGGTCCGATGTGGACTGTATTTGTTAAATGATGATTATCCTAATTGCTTTTTCGGTAACTATCTAGTGGAACCACTACCTACAAATTAATTTGTCCGCTTTTTAATCTATTGCTGACGAATTAATTTGCACGTAATGGTTCCACTAGTTAATTACCGAAAAATCAATCAGGATAATCATCATTTAACAAACAAAATCCACATCGGACCAAAAAACTTTAGGCATATAAACAGCTAACCCTTGTCTTTAGATTCAGTATCAATTTGCTTCTCCTGAAGAAGCTAACCTTGTTATCGAAACGCGCGTCGAGTGCAAAAATATCAGTTTCGTGTTAGGGTAATTGATCTCTAGAAAAAGTTTTCAAAAATCGGTTAACAAAACCACTCACTACCTCACCTAACCTGAACACAAGGCACTGATAACGAAATATTGTGAAACGGACAAAAAATTAATATTCAGCTAGTTCAGCTAGCCGAGCCTTCATTCCTCAATTACATTTGATAGCACGTTCACTTACTACCCTGGCGACTAGGGGCCACAGGTAAGAAATTTTTATGACTTTATTCTTATTTTTATTGCCGTTCCAATTGGGAATGAAAAGACTATATATTCATATTAGGAGAATCCATGTGGAATATGTGAGGCACAAATCATTTAACCTGATTGGGAGTCAACTGAAATCATGAAATACTAACACATCTGCTGTCAATAAGCTCCTGCCCACATAGCAATAGATATTCCAGGTATATTTCATGAATATACATTTAAGGATATTGTATTATGCTATGAATATGCCATATATTGCTGACGAATTAATTTGCACGTAATGGTTCCACTAGTTAATTACCGAAAAATCAATCAGGATAATCATCATTTAACAAACAAAATCCACATCGGACCAAAAAACTTTAGGCATATAAACAGCTAACCCTTGTCTTTAGATTCAGTATCAATTTGCTTCTCCTGAAGAAGGTAACCTTGTTATCGAAACGCGCGTCGAGTACAAAAATATCAGTTTCGTGTTAGGGTAATTGATCTCCAGAAAAAGTTTTCAAAAATCGGTTTGCAAAACCACTCACTACCTCACCTAACCTGAACACAAGGCACTGATAACGAAATATTGTGAAACGGACAAAAATTTAGTATTCAGCTAGTTCAGCTAGCCGAGCCTTCATTCCTCAATTACATTTGATAGCACGTTCACTTTCTACCCTGGCGACTAGGGGCCACAGGTAAGAAATGTTTATAACTTTACTCTTATTTTTATTGCCGTTCCAATTGGGAATGGAAAGACTATATATTCATATTAGGAGAATCCATGTGGAATATGTGAGGCACAAACCATTTAACCTGATTGGGAGTCAACTGAAATCATGAAATACTAACACATCTGCTGTCAATAAGCTCCTGCATGATTTCTTTATCATGACACATTGAGTCAAGCCTTTGCATTCAAAGAGCACAATCGAGCAATTTACGAAATGAAAAAGAATTTTGAGCTTACTGAATTTGTTAGAATTGAATAGTATTCAACTCAAAGTGTAAATATATCCAGTTGGAATGTTCTGTTTTTCCAAATATTCAAAAAGCGCATTCATTCGTCTGCAAATTATTTATCAACTCCCTATTCGTTCTGTGAAGTTCATTAATCCTCTTCACGGAATGAAGCAATACAATAAAATTAAAGTGCAATGATTCACTCTCGTCTCAGAGTACTTGTAGGAATCGTGACAATGACATTAAATATCAACGAACGAAATCGAAGTCGTCTGAAACAGCTTCAATCAGAAAAACTTGCTGAGCAGGAAGATCTTCATTCATCCGTTCGTTCACACTGGCTATCCTTTCCAAGAGCGCAAACGGAAGGTCAATTGTACTATACTATCAATCGGTTCTGTTTACTACAATTCATTGTTAAAAGACTCTCAACTCCGTTTGTTTATTT